TGAAATTATAAATTTTGAATAAGTTTATGGGGTAGGAAGTCAGGATAAAGCAGAGATATTTGAGGGCGTAATAGTTTTATATTAAAATAAAAAAATTATAAACAAGTCCCATGAAGCAAACTTATTTATAAATAAATTTCATAAAATTTAAAAATTACAACTAAATCTTTTGTGACTTGAGTATAATTTAAAATTAGAATAAAAAAATAATAATACCCTTATTAAACATATATGCATTATATTAGTCAAAAATTTACAATTACTTTATCAATAATTTATAACTATAACTTTAATTTTTTACAAATATTCTTCATATATTCAATAGTTAAATTGATCAGCTTAACTATTGAATATGTGAAGTTATAATTATAAAAAATTAAAATTATAATTATAAATTGCTAATAAAGTAGTTGTAAATAATTAATGTTAAACTTTGTTAGTAATACATGATTATTTAACTATTGAATATGTGAAATTATAGTTATAAAAAGTTAAATTATATTTATAAATTGCTAATGAAATAGTTAAAAATTAATTATTTGATTGATGTAATATATGTTTAATATGGGTATTATTATTTTTGCAATCTAATTTCAATTAAATAAGGCCCCAAAAGACTTGTCTGTGACTTTTAAATTTCACGAGACTTATTTGTAAATAAGTCTGCTCCACATGACTTGTACATAATTTTTCTTTTAAAACATATAAGCATAACTCATGGCATCACCGGATTAAAGCTTATGATTCTACTTTTACACATTTTAAAAATTATTTTTTAAAAAACCAATGTTAATGGGAAAGTTATGATAATGATTAGAGATAAATGAAAATAAAGAACAGAGAAATAAGAGCTGAGGGGAAGTTTAAAGGTGATTTCGGTTAATTTTGAAAACATTGTAGTTATGACCTTTTGAAAAATATTCTTTAAAAATAATTGAAGAGATAATGGAGAGATATGTGAAAGTTATGAAAATGAGAGGGATAATGGGAGAGAAGATTAGAAATAACGAAAATGAAGGAGAGAGAGATAAGAGATAAGGTAAGTGATTCAGTTAGTTTTAAAAACCTTGTATTTATTATCTTTTTAAAATATTTTTAAAAATAATTGAAAAGATGACGGAGAACTGTGTCGAGTAATGAAGAGGTATACGAGAGTGGGGCATTTTTATTTATTTTTGGAATAAATAAAAAAATATGAGAATAAAACACGTGGTATCATTGAACATAAGCTTGTGGTTTTATATATATATATATATATATGAATCATATCAATTCTCTTATGCTTCAAACTACTCCATATTCATCTCTGCACTGTACTCGCAATTTATATCTTTAATTTTTGTACGTCCCTTAAATATTAATGAAAGAGCGTTCACTTATTGCTTTATGCAATAAATAATTTTTAAAATAATTCATGTATATTCATTCTTTTTTAAATTATATACAAATAGTGAGATGAATATGTTTATTAATTCATTTACTTACAAGGAGTGAATGTTAACCCTTTCCCATGAGAAAAGGGGTCCACACATATGTAACCACACACCCACAACCACACTACACAACTAATAATATTATTATTTATTTTTGAAAAGGGGTCACTTGACGATATAGAATTTACAGCTACCCTCTTTCAAGAAAATGTGGGATGTCATTAAACCAAGAGGTTCTTGGTATAAAAACCTTCCATACTTCAATTAGAAGTGTGCATGGAAATATGAACTTCAAAAATTAAAATCATACCATCTTCTGAAAGTATAACCGAGAATAATGTTTTATAAGTTAAAAAGCTTGTAAAGTTACGGAAATATAAACAAATTTCAGTATTACAGATTAGTAACAAGGGAATTCATAAAAAAATGATTACAATTGAATTACATATGCCTAATCGGAAGCATATGAATATCTCTGAAAAAAGTGGCACCCACGACCCAATTCATCACTAACAAGGGTGCGCGATGTCATTGTCGTACTATATGTCGCTGTCCGGCCGGTTATTTAAAGGGATTGGATCGACTTGATGGATTGGATCTTCCAACTACCACTTTCTGTTGGCATCCATTTGATCATGACCGACAGAAATTGATCATTACATTTTCAATTTATAAATTTGCGGCTTGCTTTTGCTAGAATTTTTCTATGTTTTGTGTGAGGTTTTTTGTGTCTTTATAATCTCCTGTTGATTCCTATACTTTATTTGAATTTTGTTATATGTTTCTCATCCTTATATTTTTTTTTTGATATTATATATAAGTCTTTATATTTTTATTTTTTAATATTTTAATCTAAAACATTAAAAAAAGGTATAAAAATAAAAAATTTATAATAAAACTTAAGTAAAGTATAGTGATTTAAAATTATATTTTAAAAAAAAACTTTGAAGAGGATAAATAAATTAATTAAGAGATCACAAACGGTAACACATGAGAAGAGAAATGATTGTAACTGTAATTTTTATTAATACGTTGACTTAGCTTGTATAAAGCTTGTATAAATTTTAACAACTGTTTCTTTCTAGCAGTAGTGCGTTCCGTTGGATGGACAAAGAGGTTCATTTTGTATTTGGCATATTCATAATATGAAATACTAGTTGCTCTCGTAATTAATACACGACCAGGCGATAAAGGCAAGGATTCACGAATCTATCAGACTGCAACTTAACTTTTTTTCCTCCCCAACAAAGCAATGCATGTGCACATCTAACTTAACCATTTGTCACGTGAAGGATGAAAAAGCAACACGATATTTCAACATTGGCGGTGACCGTTCTCTGACTTCTCTCTCTCTCTTCCATTATTTTCCTCTTTCAATTATTCTCTCTAATACACAAAGGCTCTGAAAGATTTGGGTCATTTTCATACTCTCTCTTGATACATTTTTTCATATTCAATTTTATTTATTTATTTATTTGTTATTTTGGTTTAATGGTATGATATTATTAATTATGACCTTAAATAAATTGCTTACTCTAATAAATTTTTAGATAGATACAATGCATCATATTATTTATGGTCTATTCAATAAAATTACAACAATCTAATGAAAAAAAATTTTGTGTATCATTATTTTTAATGACTTTATTTTTATAATTAAATATTTATTTAATTTTTACATTTTCTTCCTCTATTATCATTAATGTCATAATCAATTTATATTAATGTTGTCTAAATGCCATATTTTTTTTTGATGTATTATAAATGACGTGATACATTGAGTCTATCTAAAAATATCTTGCTATTCACCATTATAATTTAAATACTTTTGAAAATAAGATTACAATACTTATTAAAAATAACTATCAAACGGTTATTATATTTTTTTAATGTTATAATTAACCATCTCATAACATTAAACCAACATAATAATTAAATGAATGAATAAGATTAGGTATGAGGAGATGTATTGAAAGAAAATATGGAGAGATTCAAATCCAAAAGCCAAACCGACATTATGTTCAACAGACTTCTATATATACAGAGTATGCTTGCGTGTCCGTGATAATTCGGAAGCAAGTTTTGATCATCAGAGAAGCTCGCATGAAGGGTGAGAAAGAAAGGTGCAGCCAAGGATGACTTGCCGGATTCTTATATCACCAATGGATGAATCGGGCAAGTTATCTTGGGCTATGTTCTTCTTTCTGCCCTTCATGCCAGCCTTTCTTGGATGAACCTTGCTCTATATTTCACGTAAACCCAGAAGTCCTCTCTACTGATCTTCATTTCCCCCTCTCATTTCTGTCCTTAATTTATACCGTTTCTTCTTACTCGTCGAATCTCCTCTCTTGTCTTTCTCAATTAAGTTTTTGGTTCGCCCATACTTGTTGCGGAGGCCACATTTTTACCTATGTATTAATTTGAGTACTTGATTTTTTTACATCTGATGATGCAGAATAAGAACCTGTTTTCTTTTCTTTTTCTCTTTTTCTTTTCCCTTTTTTGGCCAATAATAAGTACCTATTTTCCAAACAAAGAAAATCTAGAGCGAAATTTGTTGATCTTTTTACCCTACAAGAATTAAAAAAAAATATATATATATATATATCAAGCTGAACTTAATCAATTGTCACCTAATACGGCTATAAGATTTTTTAGCTCGTTTCACTACGATTTCGTTGCCGTTAACTTCAGGGCAATTAGATTAAAATCACCATATTGAAACAAATACAAACTTGAAGAAGCCAATGAGGCTTTTCCACTAAACAAGTCACCGTACCATTCCACCTAATTACAACGAAGGAAATCGGGAAGAACTTCCTTGTAGACTCCGAGGCATTGATACCACAGATTTCGAGCCCATTAGAAAACAAGAAAAAGAAAATCACGGACGAGAGCACAATGCAAGAAGTCAAATACTAGAGATCTACATTTTCCGTGAACGCCCACGGAGATTTGAAATCTTGGAAGGGATCAAATGTTTTGACGTCTTGTAACTTTGTGGGTAGAATTGAGGCACGCCCGGTGCCACTGCAAAGCAAAGAAAGGCCACGTTTTTGTTCCGTCTTCTCCGCAGTTCCTCTGTGCTCGCAACAGCATGATTCTGTTCCCCATTTGTCCAAATATCTCCCAAAATCCACACACTTGGAAACGCCGAGCACGATTTTCATGAAGCTTCCATCCTGCTCAGCCGAATTATGTGTCACGGATGTGACTTCATTCGTACAGGAGAACCATGCAATAGCAAGAAACAATAACGTTGCTGTTTCTATCCGTTCAGAAGGCATCAATCCTGCGCATCCACAAACCTTCTGCTTTCCTTAACTGAATTCATATGTGAATCTTGTTTGCCCTCCCGCAGATATTATCTAATTTCATCCAGGCTAAGTAAAGCTGACAAGGGCCTTGTGTTGTTGGCAACAGGCCAAGCTTCAGTTAAAAAAAAAAAAAAACCAAAAAGACGCATGGCCGCTGTCAAGCCACAAATCTATCTAATTCTTTTGATTTCTAAGTTTGTTCATGGAACTGGGAGGAAAATAGAACCAGAAGAAATAATTTCCACAAAAATAGAACCAACAGAAACTAAATATTCCATTGAATAATAGATATGCATTTTTACAGCATCAGGGACTGGGAGGGATTCCGCCATGACACAAAAAGACCAACAAGGAATGATACAGCTGACCGCTTCTGAATTCTTAGAGTACAGCAGGGTTGGATCCCAAAAAAAGTAAATCCAATGGCCTGAAGCAATCTGGGGAATACAGACTAATGGACCAAAGCCTAAACTATTTGACTCCAACCTTAAATATTCATTCTCACATCCGATGCTAAATGAAGATGGCTCTGCCATTAAAAAAAACAAAAACAAAAACAAAAAACTGTACAAGGGATATGGTTAGGACCTAGGAGATGGGCTCACAAAACGGCCACATCATCTCCCAGCAGTGGTTAGGGTTATCTTTTCGGAGACATGGGAAGAAGTCGGCACCATATCGGCCTCGGCCTCAGCAGCCAACCCTTCTTGTGCAGGGGCATGCAGAGGTTGTGCATCATCACCTCCCAACTCCTCCAGTGTAGGGGACATGCATAAGTTTTGAGGCCTCCACCGGGAACTCTTGAGCAGCAGGTTCATGAACAGGTTGAATTGGTTTGGGTGTGTAGGTAAAGTTAAGATCTTTGTTGGCGGCCAAAGCTAAGAGCTCTTTCTCCTCCAACCCTTTGGCCGGGCCTAAGCTGCATCTATCTGGGGTGTGTTTGGCTACTGCTTCCTTGAACTTCTTGATCTGTAATTAAAATCAAGTATTATCAGTATTTTTAAGTTCAACGGTAGGACAGAGGGAAAACAAATAAATCCTACAAATAACATGAACCCTGGGCTCATAGCACAGGACACCAAGAATCATATATAATCTACGTTGAGAATATGGAAAAACGTGTAAACATCCAAGATTAAAATCTTGTAGCATATGTTGAATCTTCTAATTAGGTTGACAACTCTCGTCAATCAAACAATCCAAAATTGGCAAAAGGCCATTTAAAAGCACTGCCTATCAATTAATAGGCACTGAGGGTACAAAGAGCCAGATTTTTTTTTTTTTTTTAACTGAGACATGATTGTGGACACAAATTTGAACCTTAATTTATCAGGTTATGAGGAACTAACCCCTGCGTTAAGCTCAACCCATGGGTACAAATAGCTGGATTTTGAGACTCGGTGCATGTATGATGTGAAACAATAAAAACTGAAGCCGGTAACTGAACAAAATCAAGAATATGGAATGAAGAGGAGTAAGAGTGAACTACACGCACCGTCGCATTGGTACAGCTAAAGCTGCATAAACGACCTTGAGCGCCTCTGTAGAAGCGGAAGAAGGGAAGAACGTGGACGCCAAGGCTATAACTCATAGCTCTGTGCTCCTCATTATTCACCTGAAGGAATAGCACATCAGGGTTCATCTCTGCAAATTGACATATCTGCCACAATACAAAAGGAAATTCGTGAATTTGGGGTGGAAAGGGAAATCGCAAGATCTCGAAAAATCATGGGATAGATCTTTGAAACAGAACAGATTGAGAGCGAAAATACCTTTGGATGGAGGGCTTTGCAACCACCACAACCAGGAGAGTAGAAATCAACAATGACCAGCTTGTCCCCTGCGTTTAATAGGGAGTCCACAAGGTCTTGTGCCGAAGTCACCTCTCTCATGTTGGGTTGAAGTCCCTTTTCCCACCATTTTTGAGCTTTCCCGAATACGCGACCCATCTATAATTTTCCATAACAGTAAAGAAGTTACCAAGAAATGTTCCAGACAATTCCTTCGCTATTTTTATTTTCCTTTCTTTCTTTTTTTACGTTTTCAAGAACAGATTCTGAAAATTTGAAGGATTTGTAAATAGCAAGTTCCAAAACTCGTCGCCTGAGGACGACAATTAGAGTTAAGATTACTAACCTGAGTTGCGGTTGAAGCTCGAAATAGGGAAATCCCTCTGTAAGGTATGCTTTTCATGACCTGAAAGACAATCTTTCTGCCATAAAATTGACTCTGCGTCGGTGAAGATGAGGATCTGAGAACCTGAGAATTTAGTTTCAGAGAAGGGGACCTCCTCAAAGAACAAGAAACCCCAGATTTGCAGTTTAAATTCTTCGGAGCTACAGAGGTTCTGTGACAATGATGGTGCCTATGGCTATTCCAAGATGAGATCAGACTGGTCTTGCCTAAAACTTCCGCCATTTAATTTCCTCTGTTCCAGTCAAATACAACAGCAATCTAATCTGTGACTCTGATAACCGAGGAAGCAAATTGCAGAAAACCCAAACGAAAGCTTCGGGAAAGTAGCTTTATCCACAAGAAATGGCTGAGCTGAACTTTCGGCGAGAGGTGACACAGTGATTAATTCAATGCATCGCAGGAATTCGAAAACGCTTATCAACCTGTTGCGGACAACAGACCTGTATTAGTTTTGTGATCGAAATGATCAAACGGTGAGAAAGCGCGGATCAGATAGGCGCGAGGTAAATAGAGGTTGAGCTGAAGTATGTGTATATGGATATGGATAAGAAAAAACTTGGGGTCACGCAGAAGCCTAGCACATCTATGGTGAATGAGGGGCCACGTGAACATCGCAGTTTCTAATACGTGGCCTATCTTTGATACTTTCAGTTAACTTTAAATTTAGGAAACATCATAATAACTGTAAATGGATATGCTTTTGGATAAAAGCACGGCCTCTTTGCCACCTCACTGACCTTTTGTGGGTCCTTCCAACTTTTTTCTTGGATTAATCATTTGCCTAGGCCATTAGGCCCATGTCCATCACTTGGTGAACCAGCCCAAAATATGATGCGGTGAAGGGCCCCTTTTTGACCATTTCAGATACTTGTTTAACAATTTAAAAAAAAATTGTTTAACAATTTATCAAACCTTATCGCAAAGAAAAAAAAAATTGATCACACCTGAGTTGAAAAACCAAACAACTTATCATAACCAATTATAGTTGGATGGCTTAGAATAAAACTACTTTTAAACAAAGATGAGATCATTTAGATATTAATTAAAAATTATAGATATCTTCTCTTTAGCAAGAATAATTTAAGTATGGAAAAAGAAAGTAAAAAATATTTTAATAAACAAGAGTGTATATTAAAAATGTAAAAAAATACTTTCTCCGTTCAAAAATGTAAGAAATTTTTTAAGAGGTTGGATGCTAAAAAATGTAAAACATTTTTAATCTTTTAAAATATAATTATTACTTTTTTTAAAAGTATCCCTATTGATAATAACTTTATATTTATTATAAGGTGTTTAATAAGGATAAAAAAAAATAAAATTAATTTAAAAATAAGTAATTACTTTATTACGAGATAAAATTTAATTAAAAATATTTTATTTTTTTTTAAACAAAGGAAGTAACTATCAGTAACTTATTCAATTTAAATTTTAAAATATAAAAATCGGTCATAGTATCAGCATGTTATAAACAATCATAAAATTTTGCGCGGCCTTTTTTAACTACGCGCGCAGCGACAAGTGAAATGGCGTATGGTGTAATGTAAGGCATTGGAGACTAATCGATTAGGCACGAGACCTAGGTTTAGCCTTCTAGAGTTCTAGTGCTAAAGCGATCATTCATCTTGCTCTGCTCTTTTGATATTCCTGCCTCACTGCTCCGACGCATATGGAGCGGAAGCTATTGGTTCCTTTTTATTTTTTCTGCCACTCCTTACATTCTTTCAACTTCCTTTCGCTCGCCATATTTTCATGGTTTCCAGCACTTCGTTAATCTCACGTACTAGCATGTATACGCATTATTGAGCGCGCAACATTCTTGTCCTCTTCTCCCAACACTTGTGGAAGTGGAAAAGCAAAGGAAGCTCCCATTTACATACCTATATTCCTTTAATATGCAGCAGCATGGTCTCTCCCTTCCCTTCCCCAATAATTCCTTTACACGTTCAGGAATCAATGGCGCTATATATTTTCGTGGATATCGAAATCAACTTCACACCCCAATTCTTAATTCCAAGACCACGGCAATTCCTTCCTTCGCTGCTAAAGGCCACAATCTTCCCCTCTTCACAAGTTCTGCTTCTCGTGATGGAACAGCATTTTCTTCCGGTACCACTTTAGCGGAGGATAATGAAAGAATTGCTGACAATCCCGGCAAGAATCAGAGAACAGCTGAAATTCATGATGGGATTGGGGATACCCAGGGCAAGAGCTTCTGGGGTGCGGTTAGTTTAATCATTGGCACGGCCGTGGGCCCAGGAATGCTGGGCTTGCCGGCTTTGACTATGAAGTCAGGTCCATTTCCTTCAACAATCGTCATTCTTCTCTCTTGGGTCTATGTCATCTCCTCAATCATACTTGTAGCAGAGCTCAGCTTTGCTGCCATGGAAGAAGATGGGATCGAAGAGGTGAGCTTTACAGGCCTAGCAACAAAGGCATTGGGAAGGCGTTTTGGTGCATTTGTTGCTCTGGTTTACACCAGTTTGAGTTTTTCCTTGTTGGTGGCTTGTGTTGCCGGCATTGGCACCATTTTTTCTCCCTGGTTCCCATGGCTCAATGCTTCGGTTGTTCATGCCTTGTTTCCACTAGTTGTTGGAATATTGATTGTCTTTTTCCCATTTAACGCTATTGATGTTGCAAACCGGATGCTATGCTTCCTCATGCTTTTCTCTATATCTGCATTGGTTGGTGTAGGAATGCATGTGGCAAGAACTAACATAATAAGCTCCTTTGCTTATGCCTCTTGGAGCCTTTCATCAATACTTCCGATAATACCTGTGGCTGTACTTACGTTGGGATTTCATGTCATCACTCCATTCATCTGTAAGATTGTTGGGACTACTGTACATGAGGCTAGAAAAGCTATACTGATTGGTGGGACTGTTCCTTTACTCATGGTTTTGTCATGGAATTTGATAGTTTTGGGACTTGTAGGGGTTTCCACGACACCCAATTCGGGCAACTCTAATGACGCCATATCTCTTTTACTTTCAGTAAATCCATCTGCTTCATCTGCTGTTCAATGTTTTGCCTTCTCTGCTATGGCAACTAGCTTGATAGGATATGCTGTAAGCTTGCCTAAACAACTTCTTGACACGTGGGAGTTGATATCTGGAAAATCTACCGCTTCTAACGGGCATGGCTACGGAAGAGTTGGATTGGCCTTTTACTCCAGAGGATCAGGTATCGGTTGTCCAGGGAAGGTTTCGTTCAGAAGTTCAGGCGATTTTACCGTGTTAGAATCTAACACAAGACCAACCGAACAAGCATTTGAGACGTTTAAAGTGATTGTAACAGTGTTCGTCCTTGCTTTTGCAATCCTCATAGCTTCGTTCTTTCGCTCTACATTTTCAAGAGCTCTCGATTTTGCTGGGGTTTATGCCAACTGCTTTCTGTTCGGTATTATTCCTCCTGTGATGGCTCACGTACACCAATCTAAGAAGAAACTCAGGTATGGCTAAGTAGTTCAAAGAAAGACAATGGCTGTTCCTTATAATAAAACTAAGGTTTGAATGGAGGGAAAACAAGCAAATTGAGCTTTATTTTCCTACTGTAACTTCAATTTGCAGTGCAAGTTAAAAGAAACAGATCGCGCTGTTTAGGAAACGCCCTCTACCTTCGATACATGCAGATAGTTCTTTTTTCCTAGGGCTATGGATATATGCCGATGGTTGAATCCATATTTCGTAGCTCAAACAGTTTCTAGTTCCAACAGGCTGTTTGACAACTTTACAGTAAACCAGATGATAGCTCATGTCTTTGTCATGAAACTTCCATTTTTCTTTTGAAATTATTCTAACTTCGTTTAACAAACGGTAACATTCATTTTGTTTATTATTTGCCAGAGCTTGCCAATTTTAAAAACAAATTACCAGGACCATTTGCACTAACAGTAATTCTACGATTTTGCAGCAGGTCATCAGCACTTCCAGGAGGAAATGGGACCCTGCTTCTGCTTTTCATTATTGCCGTCGTTTTGGGAATTTGGCATTAGGTACAACTTTATTAAGGGGCCAAAGCATTGATTAATGCAACAACGAAAGGAAGTCATATGGCCGAAATTCAAGGTCTCATTGGGACTCACGTGTTTTTCAAATTTAATTAGTCTGTAGCCGAATCTTATGAATCCCCGTCTGTTTCCACAATCTTGTTAAAGTATATAAACAGAGGAGGTTTGATTGAAGTAGGATGCAGTTAAATGAAATACATGTCATCTCCACATTATAAAACGACTGAAGTTTTAGCTTTATTCCAACATGTATTGCTAACCTCTGGGCCTTCACCTGTAAGGGCATTCATCGTGCATTTGCTATTATCATGCCTCCTTGTACTGGAAGCTGAAAAGATTAAAGTTTAAGATCTTGGCGTGCATGAGAAAACAAGATAGATTATTGCTATCAAGGATGAGGATTGATTTGCTCCCATTAACTATTACGTGTTACTCCTATTAGGCAGAACCAGATTCAGTCCATCTTGTCGATGACTAGTTTTAGTGTCTACATAGTTCACATATAGAGTATCATCTTCTGGATTGTATTTTTGTCACTTCTGTAGATAAAATATCAGAAGGTTACCGCCCAAGATAATGCATTGCTGCGAGCCAGGAGGAAATAAAATAAGTTATCATTACATAATGCAAGTGCAAGAAAAGTTGAGAATGTTCAGCAGAATACGAGCGCGCGCACGCGAAACTGAGTTGTTGATGAGATTTCTCAATAATTAACATTTTTCAGGTAACGACGACAGAAACAGAATTGTACAATGCATCCCCTGCCTCCTTAATTTGCACTTTCCATTCATTCTCAACACCCACAAATGACAAGATATCAAAAGGGAAAATGATAGTGTTATCATTTAATGATTAACATAATCAACTCTGTTGACTTTTTTGTACAATTTATTTGATCAATCACACCTGCATGCACTAGCAGGGGTGGCCTTGCCGTGTGGCATCAACCTATCTCCTTACTGGTTGCAATCCCTAGGTTCATCACGCACGCAAATAGTCATTCTTTCCAATATCTCACTCCAGCAAGCTCGAAGCCAGCATCAAGAATAATCTTCACAATCATATATCACAACTACCTTCCTGAATGTTGGAACAGCTGTGATCAAGACATTGATCCCCTCCCAATCATTGAGGAGCATTAGCAATCTGCTATCATGTAACCAAGCGTTAAGCAACTGATGATCATCATGCGGCTCTCAAAGCACATTATCTCAAACCACAGATTTATGTTCCTTTCACAGCAGCAGTATTGCGACCAAACTGAATGATCATTGGCTTGCCTTTGAATACATACCCATTCACTAAATTCTGCACTCAATTTTAAGGTGCAATATTAATCTTGAGCAAAACAAGACAGAACAAAACAAATAAGAAATTATAATTTATCAGCATGACTCATTGAAACAGAAACACGATTTCTAATGCACAAGAACTACAAATATGACTGTAACAATCTACAAGAACTAGTCCTAAACCTGATTTTCTCATTGTGTAAACTTTGCAACCATTTGGTGACAAGAAATGAAACAAAAGAAGTGCAAAGGCAAAAGCCTACAAAACAACTGTTTGAACAAACCTAAGCAGTACTTACCAAAGCATGATGAGCCAATTCAATAGATGGAAATGTTAAAAATGCTTGACCTCTCATCCTTCCTTCCTGAAATTAAGAAAGATCAATGAATTTTGGCTCAAAATTAGATCTCCTGGATTTAACAGGAAGGTAATGTTCTATTCGGAAAAAAGAATATTTGATGTAGGGATTGCGTGTTCAATTTAATGACGAATTGCATTTCTATTTTTATTATTTTTACATTAATTAGATTAAAGAATTAGGATGAATAAAAGAATTCAACTCTCTTTCAAGCGACTCAGAATTATACTATTGGTGCACATCAGCTGCAAAATACTAACATCGAAAAATACTAATTTTCCTCCACCATAGATAAAAAGCCAACCAAGATCCTACCTGCATAAGCTTGACCTGAAGAACAGACCTTGCAGCCTCAACACTTCCAAAGAAAGACCCTGAGGAAATAAAAGAAAGATAGGGTAATGATAAGAGTTTTGATCATTATGGGATAATGGATGATTTGGGAAGTTAGAAAAGTATTAGGCACAAATATCATTCCAAATTATTTTAAATATTTTGTGTTTAATAATATTATTCAGATTATTTTTCTATTTTCTTGAGTGGCTCTTAAGTTTAGGAGTAGTGGGGGTTATGGTACTTGGATATTAAATTAGTATTTTTATTTATTTATTTATATTTTAGGTAGTTATTCCCCATTATCTTAGTTATGGATTAATGGGAGTATTTTTAAAATTATTAGTTATTTTCTGTCTATAAATATTGGAGCAAATATCATGTAGAAGGCATCTGAAAATAAAATCATTATTTTTTATAAGTGGAGATTCTCCTTTGGCTTTATTAGTTGTATGAGTTTAAGATTCTTGGTCATCTGCTACTAAAGATTTTCCTTCATCTTTGTTAATTTATGGAGTTAGATTCTGATTTCATATTTGCATAAAAAAATTTCTTTCATTTTTCTCTCTACCTATCTTGGATCCTATCAAGTAACCATACCTTGGGTCCCATTAGGTAACCATGTACTTAAAGTCTAAACAAAAATGAAATCTTGTGTGATAGTACAATAAATCTGTCAACATTTTTTCTTCAGGCTCTACAAGCCTTTGAATTGCAAGAGAGGAACTATAACGTTAACTAGCACTTCAGCAACTGAATCCATTGTAGCAAATATTAAGTGTGGAAGCTTACCAAATATGAAATAGAAATCATCAGCAATCACATCTTTGGCCAAATTTTTTATATACAACACAGGAGCTGGATTCCCAGCTGTATAGTTCTGCAAAATCCATCAGTTCAAAACCATCAGTCCCATAAGAATCCATTTTGCACCACCTAATCCTTTATAATATATCATTGTTGAATCATCAGAAATCCTAATATGACCGTCTCACTTGAAATCAACTTCAAGTTAAAACCGAAGCCACAGAAAAGCTTATTATGGGCCTCTCTACAAGACAATGGTAAATCTAGGCTACTCCAATATTACTTCAACATTTAAGGAACACAATGGAGTTCAGGACAGTGTCCAAATGTAAAAATATGCGGCAAATATCTTAAACCACTGCAGAACATGAAAAGAAGTTGTATCAGGCTCATCCATTAATTGATAGCAACAAACAATGATTATGAGTGTAATAAAACACTTTTGATCCAATAGCAGATACTGAATTAATTAATCACTTGTTTCCATTGTGTTCATGTAATAGCCGATATATTCTAAATCCATACCTTAAACATTGGAAGAGACAAAATTTCCTCTGGAGGTAACTTTCCACTCTCTAATTCTTCCAGAGTCAAAAATTTTTTAGGATCTGAAATCTCTTTTTCTGCCTCCATTAGCTCCTCTGTTGTGTCAACATCTTTATGTTCATTCTGTATTGCTTTAGGAGCAATTCTAATCTTCGAAAACATCAAGAAGAAAAAATATCAATGTACAATATCAAATCTAAGTAACATCACACTATTCATAAGCTATGAATAATGCGACTCACCAAAGACTCTGTGCAGGCATAGGCCCCACATTCTAGTTAAGATAAACAAAAAGATAACTTCATCCTGCAACCTATCACGTGAAAATTAAATACCTGTAAGACAGGGTTCTTCTTTTTAATCATTGGAATTTCTTTAGGAACCAACGTGGCTGGTTTTAATCCAACAGCTTCATGAGCTACATCTTTATCAACGCCAGGGCCAATAATGGTTTCATGTCTAGCACGTTTTTGTCCAGACTTTGCTACTCTTGCCACAGCTGTAGAACCCAGTTTCCCATCAACCTCCTAAAAAATTTATATCAGTTTTCTTGATGATAAAAGAATTATATGAAAAAGCATACCAAACTAGCTTCAAATATTTGTTATCTGACACCCATTTACAAATAATTCAAGATTTGCTAATAATTTTCTCAATTTGTGCACAACAAAAACATGGTGTCTGAGTATAATTTGTATTGACGGAAAGGTCTCACAGTAGTCAGAACAATATACATTAAAGAAAAGCATGTTAATTAAATTTGTAAGGGATAATGAACAAAAATTTAACACTTTGCATCAATTTGTAAAGGGATAATGAACAATATACACTATCACGATTATACATGTGATCAATAAATAACAGACATGTGCCCCACAGCCTAATGTTTTAAAAAGAATCGGTAGTCTTACATCATCTGAAGAATCCATCTCCGATTCACTGCAAGAGACATCTGCAGTCTGAGGTTTCATGATTATAGAGGGGGGAGGAGGAGGTGAAGGTGGCGGTGGCGGTGGTGCTGGTACTTGTGCAGGCAGAGGTGGAGTGGGCAGTGCCATACGAAATGGAGCTGGAATGTTCATTTTGTTCATTAGGTGCAGCACCTATATTAGAGAGGTACAACAAATGAGTTCATTAATGTTAGATCAGTACAGTTTAGGCGCACAAAAATGCTACAGAAGCAGAGAAAGAGAAACCAATAAATTCTAGAAGCCTCATTTAGTATTTAAACAACCTGAGTATAAAAGCGGGGAACAGCAATGAGTGCATTTACAATGTTTGTCAGTATATTTCCATCAGGTGGTGGGTAAGCATACCTGTGAAACATATTTCATTACGCTATAATGCATGGAAATGAGATAAAAATATTCTAATCTTTAATGATGAATTCAAATTTCAAATTCAAATAGCAAAGACCCGTTAACTTCCATTGATATTTCCAATTATAAATAACACCGCTACATAACATGCACATCAAACCATCTTCAACCCATTCATTTATCTTAGTAGTGCACTGCAAAAAAATACTTAATCCAACATTTCCACCCTAAATCTAGGGGCCCATTTAGTAAGCAAAATTAAATTCAACAGAAAAGACAATAGAGCGATATAAGAGATTTCATTGATGAGAAATATTTCCTGTGCACGTTACAAATGACAGGTAATAGAAAGAGATAGTTGCTGTTAAATAATGATAACACAGCATACTTATATTACTTGACTCAATTGCATGCAAAGGAAAGAAATCAGTTTCTCTTGCACAAGCCAAACATGGCATAACATTTCATGGGAAAAAAATAATTGCGAGAAATCTGAGTCTTTTGCCCTTTCTTTTTCTTTTTGTGGGCTGGGGGTGGGTAAATACAAGAAAAGAACAAATGCTATATCAGACAGTATATGCAGACTGCAACAACATTTTGCTTCGTCTAAATTGGGCATTAATTGCATGAAAAAAGAGGTCAGGAGCCCAATATTTCCCTTGAACTGCAATTTAAAGCAGGACCAAAATTAAAGAAAAACAGAGGAGAAAACAAGAAAATGTTCCTCGTGTCAAGAGCCAAGAAACTCTCACATGATCACCAAAATTCCAGTGTATTTCCCATGCATATGTTACTCTACCTTCATTCCCTATATATTTCTACAAGCCTAACCAACTTATTGTACAAATCCTCGTGCTCCCCCCTGTGTCCCTCACTCGCCATAGTTCCATGCAGTCATATAACAAATCATATGGTCATATGGTCAAATTGCCCTACACACTCGGCCAGTGGATGGGTATCCCTATGTCAACAAAAAAGTTAAGAATGCAGCGACAAGAAGCAGCATACTCAAGGTGAGGAGGAAATGGGTAGTCAACACCCAGTCTTGCAGCAATTGGTTCAGAAGGAAGGACTCCTGATTTATAACTGTCATTAAGAGGCTTGGAAACAGTAGCATTTTTCACCACTGATGATTTAGAATCCTTCCCCAGCTGAGATCCTCTGCTTTTTTCACTGTTCTCCATTGAGGTACTAGCTCTCTCTGCTGATAAGACTTTACCAAGAAATCTCAACCTGACAACCAACAAGAAAACAAGAATACAACACATTAAATTAATAGAAGAGGTTTAGTTTTAAATATTCATAAAAAAGTTAAACTTATTTCCATTTGCTGATAAAGATTTTCTTTTTGTGTGACTAAATCAGGAAGCAAATGAAAAAAAGAATAGCAATTAAATGCTTATTTTAAACCAACCCCACGTTTTCAAATATGACATCGGTATTATCAATTGACAGTGCTTTAGAGGGAAAAAACATAAGATTTAAAGTACCCATTAAGTTGATGATGTGCTTGTGAAGCCAGCAGGTCATTTTTAAAATCCACAAAAGCACAGTTCCTCAACCTGCACTGGACCAAGCAATGAAACAACTACTATGATGTATGTATGATTCGACAGTACAAATGCATAAAATAAATTGGGACAAAAAATATAGTTATACAATGGGCAGTTAACTGTCCCGTGCTATCAATCCAACAAACAACATTTACAAGTGACTTGAAGTTGTCATCAAGAAAATAACATGAGTTACAAGAACTAATGTATATCAACAAGAATGGCCTAGAAAAGGAAGATGCAGAGTTTTAGAAGATAGAATTTTCATCTTGGATGTTGGTATTGCACCATCAAAGAAGCTGTCTTGGAACTCTGTAGCCATTTATGATCTTAGTTAAATTGTAAGCAGAAAAACTTGAGAAAATTCTAATTCCAAGCACTTAAATACCTCCCACTACAGCAAGGACGAACAGACGAAGCACCAAAATGGGCTAACAGTCGAGAAAGGGTTTCATGAGGTATAGCTTCAGGCAGGTGCTTAATTAAAAGGGTGACTGGGGACTCCACTGCCGAAGGCTTTGAATCTGCTGTTTCTGTGTCTTGAAATCCAAACTGATCCATGTTGGCAGCGGATGGAGAGAGGGTTGTCAGCCAGAAAATGTCAATAATGGTCACTTTCTCTTCCCTAACTTCAGAGATGGACAATACATTAGACAAAAAGGACTTGAAGAAAGTATAATAACAGAACAAAAAGCGTTTATATATACATATAGAATCTTCAACAACAACAACATATAGAATCTTCATCCATGTAAAATAATTTAATTTGCAGTTCACGTTCCTATCATTCTTATGTACCAGGGGAGCATAAAATAGAGCAAACATTATATCTTCAGCATCACGGATGAAGGATTGACTATAAGCGTATCCACAGCAGGTATATAACAAAAATCATGAACCAGCTCAAAAGGGCAATTTCATGTTCAAATCCCATCTGACTTTATTTAAAGATTATTGTCCCAATTAAATATCATATTATATTTACTTATTGACTCACCAACACCAATCTTGCCTGAAATGTAAGAAAGCAATATCGAATGGCAGCACTGGGGGCAAAGTTCATAACAGAAAAGAAAAGGTCATTAAAGATGTCAATCAGAAGATAATGTAACATAAGAAATGAGACTTTTTCACAAACTCTCATACACAACAAGATGAATAGAAACACCAGGACACTTTCAAAGAAGTGACTTTCAGACGCCAAAGTTGATCCCAACATGAATACTTTGAGCAAAAACCTCAAGCCTAATGGAACTGGTCAATCATTTTTCTCCAGCCATCAGTGTAAAATTTATCACAGTTACACCTACAATTGGTTGCACTTACAGACCGTACGTCCAATATCCTAATACAAAATCAAAATCAGAATTTGCTACAATGAATCTTTAAGTTTCATATTGAATAATATAAAACCTAGTTTGTTTGAGAAAGAAGACATTCTTTTTTAGGTATCAGAAATGAGGAGCAGCAGCTAGGGCTACACAAATACAGGGTTGGTCCAGGTTTAGCTTCAACCTAAGGTCCAGTCTAAAATCACCACGGGTTATAATTGGCAGTCCAGTCTAGTATAAACCCCATGGTGGACTGGACGGGGCTTAGTCTATCGAGTTGAAGATTGGTCTGCCAAAGTATAATTTTTTTAAATCTGAATGCTAAGTGACATTATTAATGATAGAGCACAATGGCGTCTTGCAATCCATGTAGCCGACCCCACCTAGTGGGATAAAGGCTTGTTGTTATTGTTGTTGATGTTGAATGCTAAGTGACATTCAAGAAGATTAAGAAGAGCATGTAGAGAATTTAGGGCTGCATATGGGCAGGGTTGGGTATGGGTGGGCCCAACCCAAAGGTTGAACAGGCTGCAAAATGCAGTCCACTACCCAGCCCTACCCACAAAAAACCCTAACATTCCAGGCTAGGCACCTTCAAGCTGCCCTGCCTATCATTTGTGAAGAAAATTTCACTAAATCAATCCTACTAGACATCATTTTAAAAAAGCAAATATATTTAATAATTCAATCCAAAATAACACCCATACTCCATAAATCCACATCATAAAATTACAAATCTCTAACTCGAAATGTAAAAACTACCATAAGTCTTGGCACAGAACAATATCCATAATTCAACAACTTTAATAGCATAATAGAACCACAAATTAGAATAATAGAACCAACTTTAAATGGAAGCTTGATCCTGCACACTTTCTCTTTGCCCTGACTGAATCAATTGGCATCTAAATGACCATAATAGCATAATAGAACCACAAATTAGATAATAAAACAACACAAGGTAGTAAGAACATCAGTCATCCATGAAAGAAACTTTAATAGGCATTAGGCAGTAAGCATGATTCAAATTCAGAATATTAAAAGAGCCCATTTCTAAAGAAACAGATTGCGCAGATAGCTAGGGCTGTGCAAAGGTAGAATCGAGTAGGGCAGCCCCCTAACCCAATGCCAAGCCGTAAATATCTTCAGGCAAAAAAGCCATGCCCACAGCCCGACTCTACTCGAAAGATGCAATTGGAGGGGCCAGGCAGGCAGGGTCGGGCACCTTGGGCTGCATGTCCGGTGCTGCCGTTTTTTGGGCACTTGAAAGTTTTTTGTTGAACCAAACTATATTAAGATTGGCTTCATAGTAGCCCCTAATAAAACCAATAATAAATGATGGGCTCAAAGTAACCTGGAAAAGAAATATAAATGAGACAAATAGTGAATTGCTCCATCAGAACAGACCTAAATAAAATCTAATTCACCAAAATAAAAAGAGATTTCCTCCATCAAGCGAATAAACTGAAACACAATACGTCCATGAACACTAAACAATTTAAACATAAATTATAAAGTCTATAATAGCAAATTCCCAGTCCCCACACAAGATAGGCATAGAACAATAACACGTCCAGAGGTCCAGTCATCCATAATTCAAACAGAAACTTAATCCTAAAAAAAAAAAGTCCAACATAAATGAGACAAATAGTGAATTGCCAATGCCATTCCTCCGTCCAGGCTTAAACATCAATAGCCATGGATAATTTCAAACAAAACAGCAGTAAAATACAAATCATTTTGATTTTAACCAAAAGAAAATAAAAACAAAGATCTGACAAAGAAAAGAAACAAACCAGCAGGCAGCAGCAAGCCAACGACAAGCAAAGATGAACTATGGAGACCACGTACCTAAGCTTCGAAGAGACGAGCCAACGAGCTAAGGCGACTGGAGACGAACTGGAGCAAAAGAGAGTGGCGACCGGAGATGGAGGAAGCTTGAAGAAGGAGTGGCTACCAACCCTCGTCGGAAAGAGTGACGACCGGAGACGAGCTGGAGCGACAGATCACAGAGAGCGAGACACTGGAGGCAAGACGAGGTCGAGCGAGAGAGAGGGAGGACAAGCCCGACGAGCTAGTTCGCCGGAGGCACTTTCGCTGAGGCAATAAAAGATTCGAGACGCAGATCGAATGAGCAAGTCTGGTGGTCACCCTTTGGTGTTTCAATTTCAGATTCGAGCTAGTGTGTGCTTGGTTGTCAAAAGATAATTTGCTCAAAACTCTTTTAATAAAAGTAAAAATTAATTATTATAATAAAATTTATACTTAAATATATTTTTTTAAAAAAATTATTTAAATTATAATAATAACATATGTTTTTAAATATACAATTATAAAAAAAATATTGATTTGTGATGAGTTATTATTTTTATTATATAAATGTAATAAATTAAAAAGTTTTTAAAAACGTGATAAATAACATAAAATTTGATACAGTAAAATTTTCTACATATCAAGAGCCAATTTAAGAGTTTCTTAATATTTTATTATATTTATTTTTTTAACCTAGTATAATATAATTAGACCAACATGAAATCAAAAAAATTATGTGAATACTTATTAATATAATTTTTGTTTAAAAAAAAGTATTATTTGTAGACATAAGAAGAATAAAAAAGGTTGAATAGAGATGAATAAAAAAGAAAAGGGAAGAAGAGAAATATAGAGGAAAAGGAATAGTATGATAAAATAAAAAATTAAATATACATTTAATTCTATTATTTAATATACAAATTTAAATGTAAGTTTTAAAAACTCCCAAAAGTCACATTGTCAAAATCCATATTGATCCACTTTTAGGAAGCACATTTAAAAAATAAATAACTTTCTACATCTCAAAAGTGAAAAAATACTTTTAAAATGTAAAAAGTTAACAAGCCAAACAAACCCTTAGGCTACAATGCATATACTTTAATATTTTTATTTTTAAAAATATAAGATGTGATATATTTTTCACATGTGAATATATATTTATAAAAAATATTAAAATATAGTTTTAATTTATCAAATATTCAAAATAGCATACATATATGACCCTATAAAATGATATCAAGCAAAATATAATTATTGCTTGTACTTTTATTCTATCTATATTTAATTGTCTATTGTACAATTTCTACTAATAATTGCAATTTAAATGTCAAAAGATTATATTATTATGTTTTTATAATTAAAAAATATAATTTTTATCTTTTTATTATATCTAAAACTTATTTTTTTAGGAAAATCTAATCTTTGATTTTAAAAGCAAATCATAAAAATCTATTAAGAATAAAAAATATTATTATCACAATATTTAACAAAATTTAATCTCTTAAAAAAAGTCTTGAAGTATTAGCTTTAAAGTACAATCTTGCAATTTAAAGGTATTGAATACATATTGAAAATTAAAAAAATTCAATACTCTACACATATCTATTAAAGAAGTATCGATGAATATTGATATTGGACATGCTATCAATACAGATACATGAGATAATTTAAAGTATCAATACTTAATAGGAGTTAGGTAGGTCTTCTTAGGGTTTTAATATTTTAATTTTTCATTTATGCCCCTATCAATCTACAAAATGACATTGTACATTATTTTTTTAAAAAAATTAACTATATCTCGAGTTGGGCAGGGTTAATTGGTTGGATGCCCTAACCTTAAACCCTACCCATCTTGAAGATTGGGCTGAGCTCAACCATGTCTAACCAATCTTGAGCAATTTTTTTTAAGCTCGAGCCAAATATTTTTTCCTCGAGTCATGCCAGGCATAATGGGCTATTGGCTATCTTGCACAACCTTATAGATAGCTATAAACTCCGTAGACATGGATATCTAAAGAAAGATACTATTTCCATGAGCCAATCATCTTATGATGTTTAATCCTAGCCTATTGTAATTATTTTCTATATAACATAACTAACAAAAGATGCTACCCATTTTAAAGAATTTAATACGTATAAGATTAATATTACACAAAATAAATGAGTGAAGTTTCTTAACAATTTTGGTAATGAAAGCATGTATTTCATATTTCATTTCACTTAAAGGCTTTAACTTGATTGTATGTTTTATAGTTCATTTATTAGAGACTTATGCCCAACCCAAAATTAAAAGACTTTAACTCGATTGTATATTTTCTAGTTCATTCACAAGTTAACCAAAAACCTTTTGAAATTTCTCAAGACATATGCCCTGTCCTAAACTTACAAGGTTTATTAAAGACATGCTAAAACAACAAATTCAACTACTATCAACAACATTTTTTAACAAGAGAAGTTGAAAGAAAGAGAGAGATGGAATTATAGGCTCAATCACAGGTCAAATTGAGAAGGGGGGATGCAAGTCAAAGTTGCAGAGCACAACACTACTCGCCAAGCTTAGCTAATGCTTTGATCTTCACATACAGTCAAACTCGCAAACAATAGAGGGGAGAGAGTAAAGGCTAGAGAAATAGAAGTCACATGCTCTGCTTGGCTAATAATAAGGGTTAAGAGATAGGAGGGAAGGGGAAGATCAAAGTTTCTAAATGAGAGGATGAGGCACAATCACATGTCGAAGAGGGGACGAGAGAGTAGAGAGTAACTGATGGTGTGGGGTTGAAAGGGAAATGAATTCAAAAATGGGAATAGGGAATAAAAGAAAACCTAACCCTTACGGCCTCCCTTAATCAAGTCAATAAGTTGGCAAAATTTTTTTTAAAAATAATATGTAAAGTATATATTCTTGGGCAGGGCTAAACAAGCAACACAATATTCCTTGCCTATTGCCCACCCTGCCTACACATTAGCTTGATCAAAACATGCCTAAAACAAGTCAAATAGTTTTTTAAAAATAAAATAAAGCTACTAATTCAAGGACAAATAAAAGCTCTATTATCCATATCTTAAAAATAAAATAAAATAAAACACCAGGTTAAACTAGACTAAATGGTTCTTAGGGTTGGCTTCGTACCTGGTTTGACCCAATAAGCCAAACCAATCTAGTCTAAAACATTCTCACTCTATAAACACAATTAATAAATGAAATTCATAGTAATCAGAGGATTAGCTCGGAAAGTGATTATCAAAGTTTAATCCAAAAGTAAGGGATCTCAAGTTTTCTAAATAGAAACAAGTTAAAATCAATCAAAATCTTTCATATCAGAGTAAAAATAAGTTTCAAAAGTATGAGATACCTCAAAGGAGTAAAAGAAGTCAAAAACAGTTGAAAAACAAAACATGTGCTGTGATTCAGAGCCATGCACCATGGCTCGTGCATGCTACACTGCCGCTTGCTGCTCTCTGTGCCACACGTAGTGGCTCAGGTGCCATGCGCCGCAGCGTGTTGCACGAAATTTTCACTAGTTAGGAAAACTTTTGACTCGCCCTGATTCTCCATCCGACGTCCGAATGACATGATTTAAGTGTCTACAAAAAGCTCTTTACATTAGCTAGCTAATGGCATAGGTTTCACTTTCAAAACAAGTCACACTAGGAAATTTGATACTTAAACACATTTTAACCATTTTTCAACACTTTTACACAAAAATGGGTGTCTAAAACCCTCAACAAATATCAAAAGCTTTTCCTAACACCTGAACCATGTCCAATGGACCTAGGACTACTAGTATAACACGTCACAAGCATCGAAACATCAGTATAACTAAAATTCACTCCTCAACCCCAATTTACCAAAAATAAAAGGGGAGGTAATTTACCATTGCATTTAACTAAAATCATTCAAAACATGCTCAAATCTCCATTTCTACACTTGCACTAGTATTTTAACCCTATAAACACAGACACATACACACACACACATACCCCAACATACACAAAGGGTAAGAGCTCAAAATACAATTCTAACGTTTCCAACAACCAAAATAGTAAAAGTGTGGTAATATGCATCTTAGAATTGACAATTCATATACCATTACACAATTAAAGCTAAACTAGATGCATACAATAGGAATATGCTAATTTCTCACCTCTTTAATCCTTTCCCTCTCAACACCAAAGTTAGAGCTTGAAAAGTATTAAATAAGAGGGGTGAGTCTAGCCACTCAGTAATCAAGGTTAAACCTACCCTATGCAGTTATATAACAATTACAAAACAAATACATGCATAAGGAGATCAAATATGTAAAATAAGTCCACATATATCACAATTTATCATTTATTACTCTATAGCTTCTTTACTCACATAACTAGGTGCATTGTCACCATATTCTCATATATGTGACATAACCCATACTCTTACGACCTGCCACTACTTAGCACGTGTAACACATCATGTATTTATTAAGGCAATGATCAACCAACCTTATATCCTTCTTATTTTCTCTGACTGAAATCATAAGTGATAATACTAATTAGGGCTTCGTCCGTGTGACTGGACTACCTAAGCTCACCAATTGTGAGGTGTGACCCAGTCAAAGATCACAAGACTCACTCTTAGACTGCGACTTCTCCCATTCTCGAACCCCTGGGGTGTCTTATATCCTAAACTATTCTCCTCATTAAACCAGTGGAGATAGTTCCAGTCCTTCGACAAATTATGAGACAATCCCTCGATACACAGTGAGACAAGGCTATAGCCACCGTACACTGAAGGGCAGCCCAAACACTATATGGATTTTTCTCTACTCTCAATCCTTAGGCGAACTCTCTCCACTGATTATGCCATAATCAATACTCACTTGTGTTTACATTTCGCTTTCATTTACTCACCATTACAACAACCATGTTAGGCTCACAACCTTGCGCTACCCAAGTGTGTATTCTCATCATTTTCTCAAATTCATTTCATTACTAACACACAAATACCTCTACACATTATCACATTCATTTTTTTCAAAAGTATAAGCAATTTCATAGTAAAATCCTCTTGATTTTGCATTTTGCATTTTCAAGCTAAAAATAGCTTTTTCATGCACTCAATGAAACTAATACACATAGTGTTTACTTTAACAATCCATTTCGTACATGTAACATTCACAATTAGTATTTATCAACCAATTAACCATCAATTAATATACAACTACCCAGAGTAGAGTTTTTCCTCGATTACCTCAAACCTTTGAGAGGTCAAAAGTTTACTCCTCAATCAACTAGCTTTCAAGTTTGAATTTCCACTCCAATAGGTGACCAAGAGCTAAAACTATAATCAACCAAGTTGAATTCCATCAACATAATAAACTT